AAATAGTGCACTATTTTCGCAGATAAACTTACCGGTTTTTAATTTAGCTGATTGAGACGGTTGATTTGTTAGCACGATTACCGAAAACTCAGACTTGATGCATTCAGTCAAACCAAGTCTGTTTTGTCATCTTTCGTTTAGTACATCTTGCAATGGTTAATAACTGGGAATTGTTTTTAACGAGCAACGAAATGTCCAAACAGAGCTGTCGGCCTGCCGTACCAGATCCTCAATGGTAGCTGGATTTTTTTCTCTACGTGTTTCCAGGTTAGTGAATCCCCGGGTATGGCACGAAAAGTTCAATAGATACTGTGTCATATCAGTGAGAACAGAGTGGAAACTTTGCTGTTATAATGGCCATAAGAGTGATTGCACTTTGTGACACTTTTTACATTCTCATTTCCTCATGGACTTTCTTTTTTCTCACATTTTCACACTTGTCATTCTTGTCCAACATTTCTCATATCGTGTCCACTTCATACCTGTTACCTGACTTTGTCCTATCCATTTATCCGGATCCGATAGCTTGTTGTCCTCTGAACATTTTACACCAACATTCATTCACGAACAGCTTAAGCGAATAAAGCGCGGTATGGCTGACGACAGATGGGCATACCAAATAAGCCTACCAGTCCGAATTCGATGAGCTACCAGGTTTATCCCTGATAAACACCCAAACACACTTAATTCGTTGTAGTCCCTTACTCAACCTGAGGTGAGTATAGTGACCTCAGTAAGTTAGCGTACTTCTGGGGCATTCCTTTAGGAAAATGGGAACCCATCTGAGCTTCGCGATAAACTTAATCTAATGCTCCTTTGAGTTCAGTGCTATTCGATTACAATCAACAATGCTCATCAATTACCAGAATCGATGAGCTTACTGTGTAATGAAGAGAAGAGGAAATGTAATTTAACGACGTGTTTTTAGGTGTTTTTCTCTTTACTTACATACCTCTGGTTGGATTAGGGTCTATGATGTACTAAGAAGGCCGTTCGTCACCGGCAACGGCGTTCATCAAGGTTGCCCATTTTCGCCGTTCCTGGTCAATTTCGTCGCAGCCGATGTACAACTGATGTTACTGCGCTTTTGCCATATGACTTGCGTCTTATGCTATGAAGCGCAAATAAACTACGGTGAAAGTTTCCGAAAAGCGGTGTTTTTCTGTACTTTTTAGTTAGAAAAGAAAAGACCATATTGCAATACTACACGATTTATGTCCAGGNGGTGAATCCAGATTGATCTACTATTTCTCGCTAACCGCTAATGTCACTATAAAGCTGGGTTGACAGGGCGAGTTGTTCAACATGTTGAAATGTTCTTTGGGGTTTTTGGTCATCTCTCAGTATGAGCTAGCCGCTGTTATCTGGTAAAAAGGACGGAAGTCGCATCTTATCTCAAGCAGTGCTCGCAGACCGGAAGAGCTTATCAGTCTCCAACAGCACTTCTCGTTTCGATTCCCACTGCAAATGGAGGACAACATCTCAACTTGACTAGGTCGTCGAGAGACCGAACAGTCGTTTTTAGGAGATGAGATTTGAGAAAACTGAAACAAGCCTTTCCCGAGATTGATTTCAAAGGAAAAGACCATATTGCAATACTACACGATTTATGTCCAGGACGATTTCGCTGCACCTCAACATGGTGCATACTACAGAAAATACAGTGTTTATATAGGGTTTTGTATGGCAACAAAGTAAAGCAAACTACATAAAAAACAGATAAAACATAAAAGAGGAAGGGGTAAAAGGACCAATATCACCAGGGCAAGGAGAGACTAACATAAAGTTCTTTTTGCTGACACGGAGGGGGGGGCTTCCATCGATTAATCGCAACCGTTTCAGCAAACCCTGACAAACTTGTGACTTGTAGACAATTCGAAACGTTGTGCCTCGGTCGACCTGTTGTTGCGTCATCAGCAGATGTCGAGCAATGGCTGAGGACGGAGTTTTGTAGTTTCGACCGTCGTTTCTATGCGGCGGACTTGACCTCAATTGGGTCAGCTGATTTTGCACCCAATTCGGACTATGTTCCACCACCCGATTGCGTAATTGTCGCCATGTTCGGCCCACGTGGATTGCGGAGCAACCGCATTGGAATTGGTAGATTGGATTAGAGTTGGCGTACGGAGGCAGATGTTCTTTTCTCGGGGGTTTGGGTATCCTGGTTGTCCGGTATACGATTTGGGGGTCGGCTGCGTAGTAGG